TGGAATTCTGAATTTCGGAATTTCTGAAATTCTGAATTTCCGAATTTCTGAATTTTCTGGAATTTCTGAATTTCTGAATTTCTGAATTTCTGAATTTCTGAATTTCTGAATTTCTGAATTTCTGAATTTCTGAATTTTGGAATTTCTGCGTTTCTGAATTTCTGAATTTTTGAATTTCCGAATTTCTGAATTTTTGGAATTTCTGAATTTCTGAATTTCAGAATTTCTGAATTTCCGAATTTCCGAATTTTGGATTTTCCGAGTTTCTGAATTTCTGAATTTCTGAATTTCTGAATTTCTGAATTTCCGAATTTCCGAATTTTGGAATTTCCGAGTTTCTGAATTTCTGAATTTCTGAATTTCTGAATTTTTGAATTTCTGAATTTCTGAGTTTCCGAATTTCTGAATTTTCTGGAATTTCTGAATTTCTGAATTTCTGAATTTCTGAATTTCCGAATTTCTGAATTTTTGGAATTTCTGAATTTTTGAATTTCTGAATTTCTGAATTTCTGAATTTCTGAATTTCTGAATTTCTGAATTTCTGAATTTCTGAATTTTTGGAATTTCTGAACTTCTGAATTTCTGAATTTCTGAATTTCTGAATTTCGGAATTTCTGAATTTCTGAATTTCTGAATTTCTGAATTTTGGAATTTCTGCGTTTCTGAATTTCTGAATTTTTGAATTTTTGGAATTCTGAATTTCTGAACTTCTGAATTTCTGAATTTCGGAATTTCTGAATTTCTGAATTTCTGAATTTCTGAATTTCTGAATTTCTGAATTTCCGAATTTCCGAATTTTGGAATTTCCGAGTTTCTGAATTTCTGAATTTCTGAATTTTTGAATTTCAAAAATATCTGAAAATTTAAAAAAACTAAGAAAGATCGAAATTAAAAAAAATAATTTCCCAAAAATTTGAATTTTTCAGAATTTTTGAATTTCTGAATTCTCGGAATTTCTGAATTTCGGAATTTCTGAAATTCTGAATTTCCGAATTTCTGAATTTTCTGGAATTTCTGAATTTCTGAATTTCTGAATTTCTGAATTTTTGAATTTCTGAATTTCTGAATTTCTGAACTTCTGAATTTCTGAATTTCGGAATTTCTGAATTTCTGAATTTCTGAATTTCTGAATTTCTGAATTTCTGAATTTCTGAATTTCTGAATTTCTGAATTTCTGAATTTCTGAATTTTGGAATTTCTGCGTTTCTGAATTTCTGAATTTTTGAATTTCTGAATTTCTGAATTTCTGAACTTCTGAATTTCTGAATTTCTGAATTTCCGAATTTCCGAATTTTGGAATTTCCGAGTTTCTGAATTTCTGAATTTTTGAATTTCTGAATTTCTGAGTTTCTGAATTTTCTGGAATTTCTGAATTTCTGAATTTCTGAATTTCTGAATTTCTGAATTTCTGAATTTTTGGAATTTCTGAACTTCTGAATTTCTGAATTTCTGAATTTCTGAATTTCTGAATTTCTGAATTTCTGAATTTCTGAATTTTTGGAATTTCTGAACTTCTGAATTTCTGAATTTCTGAATTTCTGAATTTTTGAATTTCTGAATTTCTGAGTTTCTGAATTTTCTGGAATTTCTGAATTTCTGAATTTCTGAATTTCTGAATTTCTGAATTTCTGAATTTCTGAATTTTTGGAATTTCTGAACTTCTGAATTTCTGAATTTCTGAATTTCTGAATTTTTGAATTTCTGAATTTCTGAATTTCTGAATTTCTGAATTTTTGAATTTCTGAATTTTTGAATTTCTGAATTTCTGAATTTCTGAACTTCTGAATTTCTGAATTTCGGAATTTCTGAATTTCTGAATTTCTGAATTTCTGAATTTTTGAATTTTTGAATTTCTGAATTTCTGAATTTCTGAATTTCTGAATTTTTGAATTTCTGAATTTTTGAATTTCTGAATTTCTGAGTTTCTGAATTTTCTGGAATTTCTGAATTTCTGAATTTCTGAATTTCTGAATTTCTGAACTTCTGAATTTCTGAATTTCGGAATTTCTGAATTTCTGAATTTCTGAATTTCTGAATTTTTGAATTTTTGAATTTCTGAATTTTTGAATTTTTGAATTTCTGAATTTCTGAATTTCTGAATTTCTGAATTTTTGAATTTCTGAATTTTTGAATTTCTGAATTTCTGAATTTCTGAATTTTTGGAATTTCTGAACTTCTGAATTTCTGAATTTCTGAATTTCTGAATTTCTGAATTTCTGAATTTTTGGAATTTCTGAACTTCTGAATTTCTGAATTTATGAATTTCTGAATTTCGGAATTTCTGAATTTCTGAATTTCTGAATTTCTGAATTTTTGAATTTCTGAATTTCTGAATTTCTGAATTTTTGGAATTCAGAAAAATCCAAAAATAGAAAATTTTTCATCTGTTTTCGACAAATCCAAAAAAAGTTTTTTTTCAATTTTTTCTGTGTGACAAGGGAAGGGAAAAAATAGAAAAATAGGGAAAAAAACGAGGGGAAAAATGAGAGAAAACCAGATTTTTTTCGACGACAAACACACAAATTTTTCCTCTTTTTCGTTCTGAAAAAAAAATGAAAAAAAAAGATTAGTGGGAATTTTTTTTTGGAAAAATAAAAATTTTTGAAGTGGAAAAAAACTGAAAAATAAATTCTAGAATAACAGAATATTGCTCAAAAAAATAGTGAAAAAAATTTCGAAATTTTAGATTTTCGGTGCCTTTTAGGCAATCTGAAAATTCTCGAAAATTTGGGCTTTTCAGCTTAAAAAATGTGAAAAATTCGGAAATTTAACTTTTCCAATTTGTTCTAGATTATCTCAGTTACTGTAAAAGATATCAAAAAGTTGTCAACTGATAAAATGTTATTGATAGTACGATTAACATTTCATCAGTTGACCACTTCTTGATAGCTCTCACAGTAACCAAGATAATTGAGTTCAAAAGTTTATCAGTCTAGCCAGTAATAAAATAAGTTTGTTAAGTTTGAGCTCATATCTCGCTTCCTGTTTAAGATAGCAAAACGTTGTCAACTAATAAAATGTTTATCTTATTATCAGCTACATTTTATCAGTTGACCACTTTTTGATATCTTTTACAGTAACCGAGATATTTGAACTCAAATTTAATGATAACTGAGCACGTGAAATAAGGGATGCAAAGCTAGAGATGTTTCAACTAGTTTTCTTTTAACTTTTAACAAACTAGTATATCAAAATACAAATGTTATACCATTTTGCTGAACTTAACATTAGCTACAATTTGCAATTTAGCTCAATCAAAATGATCAATTTTGAAGGAAGTTACAAGCTAAAGTGCAATGCGCATACCGGACAGCTCAATTATCTCAGTTCCTATAAGAGATAACAAACAATTTTCAACTGATAAAATGTTTATCATAATCTGAGAAGTCCTTTATCAGTTTACCACTTTTTGATATCTCCTACAGTAACCGAGATATAGAGGCTCAAAGAAAACAGTTTGAGGGGGGGTCTTGCCGCCCACTTGTCCACTTTTAGCTAATTTATCTCGGTTACTGTAGGAGATATCAAAAAGTTGTTAACTGATCAAATATTGCTGGTATTATGATAAACATTTTATCAGTTGACAACTTTTTGATATCTCTTACAGTATCCGAGATACTTGAGTTCAAAGAACAGTGTCATTCTACTATCGAGCGTTGTGGGGCTGGCGTTGCCTCCACTTTGACCCAGTTTATCTTGGTTACTGTAACAGCTATCAAGAAGTTGTTGTCTGATAAAATGCTAGTGATAATATGATAAACATTTCATCAGTTGACCACTTTTTGATATCACTTACAGTAACCGAGACATTTGAGCTCAAAGTTTGCCAGCATCAAAGTCAGTCTAGCCAGTGATAAAAAATGACGTCAACTTTGAGCTTATATATCTCGCTTCCTGTGAAAGATATCAAAAAGTTGTCAACTGATAAAATATTGGTAATATTGTGATAAACATTTTATCAGTCGACCAATTTTTGATATCTCTTACAGTAACCGAGATAATTGAGTTCAAAGTGAGCTAGCTCAGTACTTTTTGACTTTTGGATTTTTTTTGGATTTTTTAAAACTATTTTTCAGAGGTATGTAAAAAAACCAGTTTTTATTTTATATAGAAACATAAAACTACAAATTGTGGCATTTTAAAAATTTTTGGCGTGGGGGGGGGGGGCGTAATACGAAAAATATGGGGGAAAACAGGGAAAAGTGGGGAGAAATGAAAGGGGTATTTGCGAATCGAAAATCGAGAGAAATTCGAAATGAACAGAGACGAGAGAGTGTGTGAAACAAAGAGAGTGGGCAGAGAAATGAGAGAAAAAACGGGGGAAAAGGGGAATTTTCGACACACGAAAAGCAGCATTTTCGGATCGGGAAAAACGAGAAAATATGAGGACAGAAAGAATTTCGGAAATTTTAGATGTGTATGCATTAGAAATTGTGTTTGAGCTTTTTGAGAAAAATTGAATTTTTTCTGAAATTTTTTTTTTCAAAAATTCGAAAAATTCCAAAAAATTTTTTTTTTCAAATTTTCATTATTCAAATAGTTTTTGTGTTTTTATGATTTTCAGACGATTTCAGGCCGTGATATCAATTTTTAGCGGATTCGGAAGATTTTGAATTTTTTGAAAAAATTAGAAAATTTCAAAAAAAATGTTTTTTGGATTTTCAATATTTTGAAATTTTTGCAATAGTTTTATGATTCCCATGCGATTTCAGGTCGTCATATCGATTTTTAGTGAAATTGGACCATTTTGAAATTTTCGGATTTTTTTTTTGAAAAACGCTGAAATTTCAAAAAAAAAATTTTTTTCAGATTTCCATTTTTTCTAATAGTTTTTTGTATTTTTCTGATTTTCAGCCAGTTTGAGGTCGTTATATTGATTTTTAGCAGAATTGGAGCCTTTTGAAAATTTCGGAACTTTTTTTTTCAAAAATTCAAAAAATTCCAAAAAAATTTTTTTTCAAATTTTCATTATTCAAATAGTTTTTTGTGTTTTTATGATTTTCAGACGATTTCAGGCCGTGATATCAATTTTTAGCGGATTCGGAAGATTTTGAATTTTTCCAAAAAATTTCAAAAATTACAATTTTTTCAAAAATTTTAAATTTCCCGAAATTTTTTTTTGGATTTTCAATTTTTCGAAATTTCTCAGAAAGATTCATGATTTCCAGACCACATCCGGTCGTCATATCGATTTTTATCGAAATTGGAGCATTTTGTATTTTTTCAAAATTCAAAAAAAAGCTTGGTCCCAAAAAGTTTCGAAATTTCAAAAAAAATTTCCTCTAAAAACTCAATTTCACCGCTATTCTATACTTTTCCATCTATTTTCCATTCAAAAACCGTATTTTTGAGCGATATGTGCATTTTGTCGTAAAGTTCGGTGTTTCGGTTTTGTGTGTGCACACAATCGGCGCTACAGTAACCCGAAAACCCGAAAATGAGAGTTAGAGACGCAAAGAAGTGCATTCCAGGGTAGATTCTGATAGTGAACTCGGATTTGATATCGAAATTTCATGAAAAACAAGGAAAATTAGGAAAAACCTGGTTTTTTTCAATTTTTGAGCTTAAAAATGAGCAAAAAATTCCATTTTTCTAAAAAACCACCGATTCTAGGCAATTTTCACCACAAAATTTGAGTTTTTCTCACTTTTTTACTCCTAAAAACCGTATTTTTGAGCGATTTGTGCATTTTGTCGTAAAGTTCGGTGTTTCGGTTTAGTGTTCGCACAGAATCGGCGCTACAGTAACCCGAAAACCCGAAATTGAGAGCTAGAGACGCAGAAAAGCGCCATCGAGAGTAAATTTTGATGGGGAATCCGAATTTGACAATGAAATCCTTCAAAAACTTCCAGAAAATCCGAAAAATCTAAAAAAAAACAGTTTATTTTTGAAAGAATTTTATTTTCCGGAATTTCCAGAATTTTCAAACATTTTCCACTGCAAAATTCGTGTTTCCCATCCATTTTTACTCCTAAAATGTCTATTTTTGAGCGATTTGTGCATTTCGTCGTAAGGTTCGGTGTTTCGGTGCGGTGTTTGCACACAATCGGCGCTACAGTAATCCAAAACCTCAAAATTGACAGTTAGAGACGCAGAAAAGTGGGTCTTAGGGTAGTTTTTGATGGGAAATTCGAATTTTTGAATTTTATAGTCGAATTTCACAGTTTTCGGGGTCGTATGGATTCATTCATTAATCATAATTAAAATTAAAAATTACGGGGGGTAATTAATTTTTTCAGATGGAAATTTTAAAAAAAGGAAGGATGGCAGGAACCGTAGTAAAGAACAATCGAAGGAAGCGGCTGAGAGGGGGCTACAACAGGAATCGGGGAATTTTTAAAAATCAATAAAAAATCGATAAATCGGTCAGAAATTGGGGGAAAATAGGGGGAAAAAAGAGCCAAAAATTTCAGATTTTCAGCACATTTTAAGCCAAATTCACTTAAAATCAGAATTTCCGGCTCATTTTTCCTCAAATTTCAATTCAAAATTATTGCTTATGCTGCTCTGCTCCTGCTCCTGCTCCAGTATTGATGACCTTAATCTGAATGGGACGTGCTCCCTCCTGTTTTGGCTCCGGAGCCTTCGCGTCGATGGTCAAGTGTCCGTCGGCGGTGAGTTGTGATTGAACACTCTCTGGTGGCACCGCCTTTGGCAACGGGAAACGACGTTTGAATGTCGATTCGATGGTACCGTAGGTGTCCTCCTTCTCTCCGTGCGATCCTTCGACGATTATCGATTGATCGATTACAGTAACCTGGAAAATGATGAGAATTTAGGCTAAAATTGGGCGAAAATCGGGTCTAAAACAGTCAAAAATGGTCTTAAAATAGTCAGAAATCCGTCAAAAACGTACAAACTCCAAAATATTCCAAAAATTATGCCTAATTTAGGCTGAATTCAGGCCATTTTTGACCCTAGTAGGGTGATTTTCGACTATTTAGAACCATTTTCAGGCGCTGTTAGGTCGTTTTAGGCCATTTTCAGACTAATTTTGAGTCATTTTCAGTCATTTTTTGGCTCATATTGGCTCATTTAAAGCTGATTTCTACCCCCCCCATTTTCAGTGTAGTTTTTGGTCAATTTTTTTAGGTCGTTTTCAGTAATTTTTTGCCGATTTTGGATCATTTTCAGGCCGCTTTAGGCCATTTGCAGACCAGATTTTTGAAATAATTTCAGTGTAGTTTTTGGTCCATTTTAGGTCGTTTAAGTCGTTTTCCGTCAATTTTTTTTCGTCAATTTTAGACCATTTCCGATTATTTCAAGTCGTTTTTAGTCAATTTTAGGTCGCTTTTTTCGGCATTTTTCAGCATAAAATAGCCTAAATTAGGGGTAGAAACGTGTAGAAAAATACTCCAAAATGAGTCTGAATTTTCGCTATTTTTGTATTATAACTTTTCAGGCGGATTACTGCAGTTTTTAGCTCGAAAAAAAAGTGATTTTAGACCATTGGCCCTGATTTAGGCTTTTTTATTATATACTTTTTTATATAAATCGAGCCAAAAAGTGTCCTAAAATGGCTTAAACCTCTTCAGTCCGTTTTAGGCCGTTTGAGACCAAGTTTTGATTATTTTCAGTCGTTTTCAACCAATTTTAAGGTCATTTTTAGTCAATTTTGACCTAAGACAGCCTAAATTAGGTCTAAAAACGTTCAAAAATGGTCCAAAAGGAGCCAATTTTCGCTATTTTTTAATCTAAAAACTACAGTAACCGCAAAGTACGGTACCTTCAACGAGTCGGCGTCATACTTGGAGACGTCCAAAACCGCATGGAAGCTGGTGTTGGTGACGCGGATCGATGTGATGTTGCCGGCTGAAACATGGAATTTATTGATTTATTGATTTTCAGAGCCAAAATTTCAGCTTTTTTCAGTTTTTAAGCCTTAAAGTCTAATTTTTGGGTCAATTTAGGCTGAAAATCTTGATTTTTGGGTCATTTTCAACCCGAAATCCCCATTTTTAGGATCATTTTCAGTCTAAAAATCCGATTTTAAGGCTTATTTTCAGCCAAAATTGCTCATTTAAGGGCCGTTTTCAACACAAAATCCCCATTTTAAAATGTCATTTCCAAGTCATTTCGAACGCAAAAAGTCGATTTTCAGATCATTTTCAAGCAAGAGCCCAATTTCAGAGTGATTTTCAGCCAAAATTGCTTATTTAAGGGTCATTTTAAGCCCAAAACATGCAATTTTGGGTCATTGTTACGCCCAAATTGAATTTTAAGAGTCATTTTAACTCTAAAATACGATTTTAAGGCTCATTTTCAACAAAAATTGCTCATTTCAGGGCCATTTTAGACTTTAAAAACATGAGTTCAGGGTCTTTTTTAACCCGAAAATTCGGTTTTTGGGTCATTTTCAACCCAAACCCCAATTTTAAGGGTCATTTTCAGCCAATATTTCTCATTTAAGGGTCATTTTAAGCCCAAAACATGCAATTTTGGGTCATTTTGACCCCCCAAATTCAATTTTTAAGGTAGTTTTCAGCCAAAATTTCAGCGCTTACTCTGAGTTCCAACGACGGATGGGCTGGAAATTGCGAGATTCGGAAAGTTGGACAACATCGATGAGTGGATGTTTCCAATGTCTGGAATTCCTGGAAGAGCCGTGTGCGTCTGAGTGGTGACACGAATGTTTGGAGATCCCTCCTCGACCACCTGGAAATGCAGATTTTCAGACATTTTCAGACGATTTTCAGCTATTTTAAAGCGAACAAATCGACTTTTTGAGCCCAAAAACTCCTAATTTCATCATTTTTTAGTCAATTTTCAACCATTTTCAGCAATTTTCAGACTTTTCAAGCTATTTTTTAAGCTGAAAATCTCAAAATTTGAGCTATTTTCAGTCGTTTTTTGAGGCCAAAACTCCAAATTCTTCGAAATTTCCTTTTTTTGGAACCAAAATCAGTAGTTTATGGGTGACAAGAGTGAGATAGACCGTCTCGTGGGACCACTTTTCGCGAAAAAAAAAGGATTTTGTGACCAAAAAAACTTTTTTGGGACACTTTTTGTCAATTTTTTGAAAGAAATTGAGCCAAAATAGCTCTAAAATGCTTAAAATCGATCTAAAACTGAGCCAAAAATGGTTTAAAAAGACTCAAATGACCCAAAAGTGGCAATTTTTCAGTAATTTTGGGTCAATTTAAGCCAATTTTTGACGTTTTAGAGCCATTTTTGGCTCATTTCTCGGTAATTTTGGGGTCGATTTCAGCCAAATTTGGAGCCTTTTAGAGCTTTTTTGCTAGATTTTTCATCGATTCTAGGTTCATTTTCGCATTTAAAAGATCTAAAAATGCTAAAAATTGACCCAAAATTACTGGAAAATGGCCAATTTAGCGTCATTTGAGCAAATTGAACTACTTTCGGCTCATTTTAGGTCATTTTTAGCCATTTTCGAGCTATTTTTGGCTCATTTTTCATCGATTTTTGCTGATTTCGAGCCTTTTTAGAGCATTTTTGCCTGATTATTCATCGATTCTAGGTCCATTTCCCTATTCAAAAGCTCTAAAAATGCTAAAAATTGTCCCAAAATTACTGGAAAATGGCCAATTTATAGTCATTTGGGTCTATAGAGCCATTTTTGGCTCATCTCCCGGTAATTTTGGGTCAATTTCAGCCAGATGTAGGCCTTTTAGAGCTGTTTTGGCTCATTTTTCATAGAAATATGCTCATTTTTTGGCTATTTTTCCTCGATTTTGGGTCAATTTTCGCCTATTTTGAGTGATTTTTCTCGATTTATCAGCTTTCTGACCTATTTTTTTCAGCTTTTTCAGCGAGCTCTACAGTACCACACTCACCTTCTTCTCATAGGTCCTATTATAGGAGCTGGTGGTGTTGAACGTCGCCATATTGTTGTTCTGTTGATGATGACTGGTCGAGCGAGCTCTGAGTTTTTCAAATCGTTCCGAGATTTCAGCCAAGTCTTTCGGCATTTGTGTAGGAATTGTAGTTTGGGGGGTGGTTGGAGTGGGCGTGGCCATTTTTATGGTCAAAAATGAAGGATTGCAAGATTTTTGGACAAAAAATAAGTGCTGGAGTACTGTAGAAGACGATTTTGGGTCGGAAAAATGGGACTTTTAGGGTCAAATTTGGTTAGAAATAAAGATTTTTGGACCAAATTTAGTGCTAGAGTACTGTAGAATAGACGATTTTGAAGCTCAAAAAATGACCCAAAACTTGTTTTTTCCAGGTCAAATCTGGTCTAGGGCTCTTGTAGCGAATAAAGCTCGATTTTCAGCGTTTTTAGAGCTGGAATATCGCTCGAAAATGCTAGATTCAGTAGCGAGTAAATGGATTGGCTCCAGAAGTCGAGAATAACCCAAAAATCGAAATTTTGGGGTCAAATTGGGTCTAGAATGGCGTAGAGGGCTCCAGAAGTGAATATAGCTTGATTTTCAGCGTTTTTCGAGTCTAAAAATCGCCAGAAAATGGGATTTTTCGGGTCAGATCGATTTTCAGCGTTTTTAAAGCTGAAAAGTCGTCCAAAAATGAGGGTTCCAGTAGTGAGTAAGTTGATAGTTCCAGAATAATCCAAAAATCGAAACTTTGAGGTCAAAATTGGGTCTAGAATGGCGTAGAGGGCTCCAGAAGTGAATATAGGTCGATTTTCAGCGTTTTTAATGCTAAAAATTCGACTTTTTGAGTTGTGAAAGTGAACCTTTCTTTCACAATGTGTGTGCTCTCTCTATAGGCTCCGCCCCTCCTTCTTTAAATACGCCGTCGTTTTTTCTCTAATTCTCTTTCTCTCGTAAGAGATAAGAAGAAAAAAATGCGATTCGAACATCTGGCACATTGCTTTTGAATCGGATAAAAATGCCGATTTTCCCATTTTCCTGGGGGGTTAAACAAGTCGGAAAACGCCATTTTTAACATAAAAATGACATTTTCCATGTGTTCTTGGCTCATTCTGGCTCATTTTGATGCTCAAAACTCGGCTCAAGGCGTTCTCGAACTTTCTGTCTGTTTGTTTTCTCGAGCCGAGCAGCAGAGCAACAAAGAAAAAACGAGATTTCTCATTTGAGAGATATGGGACATATGTACTAAATATCTCTTTTCCCTCTCAATCCCACACAAAACAGCGGAGGGGATTAAAATGAGTCATCATACGTAGAGATACACATCTTGTGGAGCATTTTAGAGCCTCTATGAGCATCTAGGAGCGTTTTGGAGCATTGATTAGCCACTAGGAGCATTTTAGGGCATCTAGGAGCATTTTAAAATATCTAGAAGCATATCGAAGCATCCAGAAGCATCTAGGAGCATGAAAGAGTCTCTAGGAGCATTTTAGAGTTTCTAGGAGCATCTAGGAGCATGCTGAAGCATCTAGGAGCATCTAGGAGAATGCTGAAAACTCGAAGGGCATTTAGAAGCATCTAGGAGTGTCTATGAGCATTTAGAAGCATTTAGAAGCATTTAGGAGTATCTATCTAGAAGCAGTTAGGAGCATTATAGAGTCTCTAGGAGCATCTAGGAGCATTTTAAGGCATTTAGAAGCAAATGGGAGCATTTTTGAGTATCTAGAAGCGTCTAGAAGCGTCTAGAAGCGTCTTGGAGCATCTGGGAGAATTATAGAATCTCTAGGAGCAATTTGGAGCATTACGGAGCATTCTGAAGCGACTAGGAGAATTTTGGAGCCAATAGATGGATTCTAAGAGTCATAGGGACCAATCAGACGGTATTTCGAGCTCGAAAAGACCATTTTTAGGATCAACTAGTTTAAATATCTCCGAAACCCCTATTAGAAGGGCCCCCAGTGGCTCAGAATGCTCTAAAAGCAAGGCTATACCATTTGTGACGATTCTGGAATCATTTTGGAGTTTTATAACCTATCCAGATGGCATTATATGATTCTGGATGAGTTTCCTGCATCCAATATGCTCCAGAAGCTACTCAGAATGTTCTAGAAGCGTCCAGATGGGTATAGGGTCAAAATCCAAGGTCCTAGTCCAAAAAGCACAAAATCGAGGGTCCTAGGCTTCCAAAGCCTCATTGATACCCTAAAACCTCATATTTTGGTCCAAATTCGTTGAAAATTATTTTCTAGATACTTAGAGAACACTAAAACACACACACACTCACACACAGCTCTTATCAAACTATAAAATCGTCACATCAAAGGGGAAAAAGCAACATTCTAGAGTGCTTTTCTTATCAATAGTGATAGTGTGTACTACGTACGCTAGAGAGTTTCAGATTTTTCTGGAATTTTGGAGGGGAAATTTTAAAAATACAGGTCATTTTGAAGCCACAAAAGGTCCAAAAAGCTGAGAGTTACAGCTAATTTTGAAGCTAGAAATCTGGAATTTCCAGCTTTCTTGGGATAAAATTGAGCTGAAATTTGCAGGTTTTTCGGAAATTTTTCAGCTTCAAAATGAGCAATTTCCCTCAAATTTTTGGGGCACAAACTGCGAAAAAAAAACAACGCTAATAAAAAATTCCAGATTTTCAGCCTGAAAATCGCTAGAAATTCAAAATTTCACTCAAAAAATTTGTTGTGTATGTACACAAACTGTTTATTGGGCAAAAATGGGGAAACGTTTCATATGCTAATACGATTATGATATTTCCAAAAAAAAGGGGAAAATGGAGGAAATATGCAAATTTGGGTATATAACAATGGAGTTTTCAAACGCGTACTCGGAGGGACAAGTTAGGAGCTAAATGGTGGCCTAGAATCCCCAAAAATTGGGTTTCTAGGCCACCAAGCTCAAACCTGCTCAGAAACCTGTTTAGATGGCCTAGCAATTCGGGGTCCTAGGCCACCAATATGGAGGTAACCGAGACATCCAACTGATGGCCTAGAATCCCCAAAAATTGGGTTTCTAGGCCATTAGCTGCAATCCTAGGCAATCATCACTCAAAATGGTTCGTGGAGGTTCATTTTGGTGACCTAGAACCCCTAGAAATCGGGCTATTTGGGTTTCTAGGCCATTTGCTAAATTTCTAGGCGTCCAGAACCCAAATCGATGGATTACCTCCATTTTAATGACCTGGAATACCTACAAATCGAGCTATTTGGGTTCTTAGGCCACTAAGGCGTGCACTAGGCCATAGGAGCTAAATGGTGGCCTAGAATCTCCAAAAGTTGGGTTTCTAGGCCACCAAGCTCAAACAACTCAGAAAAATCTATCTAGATGACTTAGAAATTCAGGATTCTAGGCCACCAATATGGAGGTAACCGAGACATCAAACGAATGGCCTAGAATCCCTAGAAATTGGGTTTCTATGCCATGAGCCGGATTCCCAGTCAATCATAACTCAAAATAACACATGTCCTCTTTTATGGTGGCCTAGAATCTCTAGTCATTTGGGTTTTTCTAGGCCACTAGGTGGATTCCTAGGCCACCATAATCCCAAAATGACATTTGGGGCTTCATTTTGGTGGTCTAGAATCCCCGAAAAGTGGGGTCCTAGGCCACAAAGACGTAATCTAGGCCATTCTGGAGTATTCTAGGGGTGAAAATTGCTCCAAAAATCGCAGGAAAAATTCAAAAAATCCAGTAAATTGAAGAAAGGACTCTTGTTGTATAGAAAATCGGGACCTTCTGCTCTCTTTTATTTTTGTTTTCTTCTCTTCTCTTCTCGCTCCTCGAAGCACCGCCCGCTTTTTCTTTCTCGTTCACAGCAGGTGGTGGTGCCAACTTTTTTCTAATGCTGAGCAATCTCGAAAAAGTGGAGGCGGCGGGGGCAGTTGTTTTTCTAGGTGTCTGTGATGGTCCCTTCTGGAACATAGCACACATAACAGTGATGTCAGATTTGTTGGGAAATTCCATAGATGTGTCCACGTGTCCGGATGTCTAGAAAATTCCAAATTCCTTGAAAATGCCGAATTTTAGTGAGGATTCTGAGGGATTCTGAAGCCCGGGAGTCTGATAATTTCAGATATCTGTGTGTCCAGATGTCCGGATTTACATAAAAATCCTAATTTCTAGGATTTCAAATATCTGGGAGAATAGGTGAAGAATCTTGAGACTGTCAGGAGCCCAGAAGTCTGGAATTTCAGATATCTGTGTGTCCAGATGCCCGGATTTACATAAAAATCCAAATTCCAGAGATATCCTAAAAGATTCTAGGGGACTCTGAAGCCCAGGAGTCTGATAATTTCAGATATTTGTGTGTCCACATGTCCGGATGTCCAGAAAATTCCAAATTTCTTGAAAATGCCGAATTTCAGTGAGGATTCTGTGGAATTCTGAAGCCCAGGCGTCTGATAATTTCAGATATCTGTGTGTCCAGATGTCCGGATTTACATGAAAATCCAAATTTCTGGAGAATACCGAATTTTTGGGAGATTCTGAGGGGTTCTGAAGCCCAGGAATCTGATAGTTTCAGATATCTGTGTGTCCAGATGTCCGGATTTACATAAAAATTCAAATTCCAGAGAGATCCTAAGAGATTCTAGGGGACTCTGGATCCCAGGAGTCTGGAACTTCAGATATCGGTGTGTCCAGATGTCCGGATTTACATAAAAATCCAAATTTCTAGGATTTTAAATATCCGGGAGAATAGGTGAAGAATCTTGAGACTGTCAGGAGCCCAGAAGTCTGGAATTTCAGATGTCTGTGTGTCCAGATGTCCGGATAGCCAGAAATTCAAATTTCTGAAGATTGCTTAATAATTGGGATATTCTGAGGGATCCTAGAGCCCAGAAATCCGAGAATTTCTGTGTGTCCAGGCGTCCAGAAATCCAAATTCCATGGAGATTCTGAAGGATTCTGAAGACCAGAAGTGCCCAATATTTCAGATATCTGTGTGTCCAGATGTCCAAAATGACCACGAATTGAATGTTCTAGATTCTAGAACCCAAAACTTCAAAAATCCAGGGAGAATAGACTCAAGGACTTTGAGCTCTCTGCAAATCTGTATATCCAGATGTCCGGATGTCCAACTTTTGCTATTCTAAAATTCGAATCGACTTCTGGGTATCCACGTGTCTCAAATTCGAATTTTCTAGACTTTCCTATCTATCGGAGTGTCCAGATGTCCAGATTTCTCAGATGTCTGTGTATCTACACTTTCGGATGTCCGACTTTTCAAATAATCTAGAGGAAAGCTTTAAAAAAAGCATATCTTGAGGCTCTGAATGTCCAAAAACTGGAATTTCTGTTTATCCGAATGTCCAGGTGTCCAGATTCCTCAGATTTCTGTGTATCTGCACTTCCGGATGTCTGCATGTTTGAAAAAATCAAGAAAAACTAATAATTTATTGGAATAATGGAGGCTTTACAACAAGAAACAGAGAATTCTGAGTGTCCAGATGTCCAGATATCCAAAATTGGGACTCCTGTGTGTCCTGGTGTCCAGATGTCCAAAAGTCCAAAAAATATGGTTCGTGTGTGTCCGTAGCGTCCAGATGTCCAGAATTCTTGGCTTCCGTCGTCGAAACCATCTTTTTAGGGTAGAAAAATTCAGAAAACACAAAACATTGAAAAAAAAACCTTTAAAATCCTCCATTTCTGACCATTTTTCAGCCCAAATCACATCAAAAATGCCTATTTTAGACCATTTTTTCTCGCATTTTCGGAAATTCCGGTCTAAATCCCTTCATTTCTGACCATTTTCCACCCCAAACCACCTCAAAATGACTCCTATTTTACCTCTCATCACCATGACCACCATGGTGATGGCTGTTTCCTCCATACTGTAGCGCCGATGACAATGAGGTCGGAATTTTCGAAAAACGATCAGAAGCCGATCCGGCAGTGTTGATAGTCGAGGAAGAGTTGCGGAGAGGGGTGTGGAACTGAAAAATGGGGATTTTTTGGCTGAAAATCGACTTTTCTGCACTTTTTGAGGCTGAAAATGAGCTTAAAACCCTAAAATTAGCCTAGAAATCATGTTTCCAAGCATTTTGGAGAGATGGCCTAGAAAACCAAATTTTTGGATTTCTAGGCCATCTGTCCGAAATCGTCGCGAACATGGTTTCTAGGCTAATATTGAGGTTTTAAGCACGATTTTGGCATTTCTGAGGCCTAAAAATGAGTTTTAAGCTCGAAAATTGCCCAAATTTGGCTGAAAATGATGCAAGTCTGAATTTCAGCATTCCAGCCTGGAAAACCGTCTAAAATTCGATTTTCCAGAGGTTAAAAGCTGAAAATCGTGATTTTCAGCGTTTTCAACCCTAGAATTCTCGAAAAATTCCAACTTTTAGCTGAAAAATTGACTTTTTTCAAATTTTCAAAAAATTGAATTTTTCGGAATTTTTGATCATTCTCTTCATTTTTCAGCAATTTTCACAGAATTTTTAGCAATTTTAAACCAATTTCTGGCCTGAAATTCTAGATTTTTTGTCTGAAAAAATTATTTTTTCGATTTTTTCTTGAATTTTTTCTAGATTTTCATTCCAAATTCTTTTTCTTCTCTCATTTTCCCCTTTTTCCGTACCACAGACGAATAAACTGGCGAATAGATGGGCGGTTCCTCGGGTGGACTCTTTGGTGGCACCCCACCGTTCGAATGGGTGGTCAGACGGGTGTAGCAGTAGGTTTTAGACATTTTTCACCTGAAAAATTGGATTTTTCGCGAAAAATTGGCCTAGAAATCTGAAAAAATCATGAAAATTAAGCTGAAAAAATGAGAAATTCGTCGAAAATCTGAAAACGGTTTGATGGTCCGCAAATACCGCTACGCAATTTCGCAGAGTTTCAAAACGGCGGGAAGAGCTAAACTTCAAATTTCCAAGCTATTCTTTCAATTAAAACTGGATTTCTTGGCTTTTTTCCGTTAGAAAAACAATAAAAATGTCAAATTTTCCCTCAAATTCTATTTTTGCCATAAAAGACGCTAATGGAGATGAAAAAAGAGGACAACAACCACTTAAAACAGTGGAAAAAGAAGCGAGAGAGTATAAGAGAGAAGAGACGCAGAGAAAATGGAATGTGTCATGCTTTTCTTTTTGTTTTTTGATAAAGTACTTGAGTCTGAAATTTTTTAAAAGGAAATTCTGAAATTTCAAACTTTTTAGTTCAAAATATTTTTTTGAACAAAATTCTCATATTTTTTTCAGGTTACTGTATTTTTTGTGCCAAGACCTTATCTTTGCGTTTTTATACTCATTTTGAAGCTCTAAACAAGGCAAATATTATGCTTTTTGAATTTTTGAGATTGGCCTAAAATTGACAGAGTTACGGTGGTTTTAGGGATTTTCGTGATGGGACCGAAAAATGTTAAACTACCGTATCTCAATCAGTTTTGAGACAAATTCAAAATTTTGAAAAACATTGAAATTAGCTAAAAAACGCTTCAAAATGAGTATGAACAAGACTAGTTTCGAAATTTTCAGATTTTTTGGGTCCAACCACTAAAACTACCGTATCTCAGCCAATTTCGGGCCAAACTCAAAAATTCAAAGTGCGTTAAATTAAGCTTGTTAAGAGCTTCAAAACGAGTATAAACATGGCTATATTTAAAATTTTTTGATTTTTCGAAATTTTTAAGGGTCCCTAGTTTAAAAATCGATTTTTCGAATTTTTCGAGTAATTCAGCTATGCCATCCCAGTTATCTTATATTTTTTGTAGAAAATTTTTTTTTCGAAAATTTTTTTGTCCAGTCAGAATGTTGTCCCAATTAGATTCCACCTGATTGCTCATGTATAGTAGTAGTAGTACAGTACAAATAACATATGGATAATTGGGTTGACTAGGGGTACCTATTATTATTTATTTTGTCCTTTTTTCTCCTGTCATTTGTCTTCCTTCTTTTTTTGCCCTCCGAAAAGAGAAATTTTGGAAAAAAAAGAAAGGAAATGATTCATTTGGCCTAATTGCCTAAGTTTATACAGTACTAGGCTGTACTGTTCGTTGAACAGTACACTACTGTGACGAAACGGTTTTAGTCTAGAAAAAAACGCTTTTTAGCCATTCTTTGCAGTTTTCCAGCTACCGTAAACACTCTAATAGAACGCCACCCTGACCGTCCACTTTGAGCCTATATATCTCACTTCTTTCAAAAGATATCAAGAAGTCGTTAACTGATAAAATGTTTATCATAATATCAGCTACATTTTATTAATTGACCACTTTTTGATATCTCTCACAGAAAATAAGATACATGGCCACAAAGTAGACGGCTTCAGGAGGGGCATTCTGTTGGAGGGCCCCCATACTGTTAACTTTGCGCCTATATATCTCACTTCTCTTGAAAGATATCAAAAAGTTATCAACTGATAAAATGTTTTTCATGATATCAGCTACATTTTATCAGTTGACCACTTTTTGATATCTCTCACCGAAATGGAGATACATGGGCTCAAGTTTAACGATGCGTGGCGTTCTTTTGATCACTAAACTTTTTTGAGATTTTTGATTTCCTGATTTAAACGAAAAATCAGGTGATAACTAGAATTTCTTTTGAACTTTCTGTTTTCCTTTCTTAATAGTATACAATTAAACCAAACATTTCTGCGAAAAGTTTTCTCTAGTTTTGATATATAACTTTCCTTTTTTTTGACATTTTTGTTGAAATTTTAGTTTTTCAAAATCTTTTTTTTTTTGAAGTTTTAGTATTGAAATTTCTGGGAATTGATAAAAGAACTTTGAAAATTTGAACTTTCAAAATTTTGGAAGTTTTTGAATTTTTTGAATATTTGGATTTCCTGGATCCTCGGAAAATTCCAATGATTTGGGAAAACCAGGAATTTTCAAATTTTCAGAAAAATTTTAAAAAAAAAACAAAATTTAGAATATTCTAAATTTTTCGAAATTTTCGTAATTTCGGATTTTTGATTTTTTAAAGACATTTTCTGAATTTTAGAATTTCTGAATTCCTGGATTTCTGAATTTTTGAATTTCCGAATTTTTGAATTTTAGAATTTCTGAATTTCTGGATTTCTGAAATTCTGAATTTCTGGATTTCTGAAATTCTGAATTCCTGAATTCCTGAATTTCTGAATTTCTGAATTTCTGAATTTCTGAATTTCTGAATTTCTGAATTTCTGAATTTCTGAATTTCTGAATTTCTGAATTTCTGAATTTCTGAATTTCTGAATTTTAGAATTTCTGAATTCCTGGATTTCTGAATTTTTGAATTTCCGAATTTTTGAATTTTAGAATTTCTGAATTTCTGGATTTCTGAAATTCTGAATTTCTGGATTTCTGAAATTCTGAATTTCTGGATTTCTGAAATTCTGAATTCCTGAATTTCTGAATTTCCGAATTTCTGAATTTCTGAATTTCTGAAATTCTGAATTCCTGAATTTCTGAATTTCTGAATTTCTGAATTTCTGAATTTCTGAAATTCTGAATTTCTGAATTTCTGAATTTCTGAAAAATCGAAAAACCGTAAAAATTCTGTAAATTATAAATTTTTAGCGTTTCGGAATTTTTTTTCAAAAATTTCTCATGTTTTGGGAAAATCAAAAAAAAATACGAATTTCTGAAAATCCGAAATTTCAAAATTTCGCATTTTTCGAATTTTGAAAAAAACCACTCTTTTCCAAATCTCAAGATTTTTTTAACAACTCCAAACTTCCATTTTCTGTTCTTTTGTACAATAAAATGACGTATTCAAAGGTACTATTTGCTCAATTCCTCATTATTACAAAAAATCTCAAGTACCCAAAAATGTATACAAAAAACTTTTTTTTTCAAATTTCCCGCCATTTTCCGGTTTCTACAGTACTCTGAATCAGTTTCCCATTCCACCCATTTTTTTTCTAGAAATTTCCGTCTTTGAAACGAAACGAAAACCTCATAATTAGACAAGTTGTTCGCTCTCTCTGTTTCTCTGCGTCTCTCATTCTACAGTACTCTCTCTCTCTCTTTTCTTTGAAACACACACTATATTTTATTCTATGTTCTTCTTTCTGTTTTAAAACATCGAAATGACAGACAAGTTTTGTCCCCTTTAGTCATAAACATTCCGGTTGGATTACTGTAGTTTTTGAAAAAAAATTATGAGATTACTTCTTTAGTTAGCTGGGTTTTTGAACATTCAAAGTGCTATCCTCTCACTTTTGACTTTTGAAGGTACTGTAGTTTTTCTAGCTACATGTTTCTATACTTATTTTGAAGGTTTTAACATGACAAATCTTATAGTTTTTGAATTTTCAATTTTAGACCAAAATTGGGTGAGTTACGGTGGTTTTAGTGATTTTCGTGGTGGGACCTAATTTTTCAAAATTCGTAAAATTGAAACTAGTCGTGTTTATACTCATTTTGAAGCTCCTGACATGAAAAATTTGATGCTTTTTGAATTTTTAATTTTGAACGAATATTGGCTGAGATACGGGGATTTCCTTGATAAATCGAACTAATTGTTCTATGTTCCGAATTTCAAATTTTTTGTGGGTACTGTTGTTTTATCTTTGTGATTTTATACTCGTTCTAAAGACCGTATTATGAGAAAACTTATGGTTTTTGAATTTCCAGTTTTGGACCAAAACTGACCGAGATACGGTAGTTTTAATAATTAGTTAGCTTGGTTTTTGAACATTTAAAGTTCTACGTTCCAAATTTCGGCATTTTTCGGGTTACTGTAGTTTTTGATTTTCTGGATTTTGTGATTATTTTGAAGGTCTTATAATGAGAAACTTGATGGTTATTGAATTTGTGATTTTGGACCAAAATTGGCTGAGATACGGTGGTCTTAGTGTTTTTCGTGATGGGACCCAAATTTTCCAAAACTTAAAAAATCGAAAAATCGGAATTAGTCGTGTTTATACTCATTTTGAAGCTCTTGACATAACAAATTTGATGTTTTTTGAATTTTTGATTTTGAACGGATACTGGCTGGGTTACGGTAGTTTTAGTGATTGTCGTGCTAGGACCCAACAACCGTCAAACTACAGTATCTCCGCCAGTTTTGCTCCAAAATTGAAAATTCAAGCAGCGCCCAATTTTTTTCATTTAGAGCCTCGAAATGAGTATAGACATGCCTAGTTTTGAAAATTTTCGATTTTTGGGTCCTTACACGAAAATCAATAAAACTACCGTAACTCGATCAGTTTTGGTCCAAACTTGGAAATTCAAAAAGCACCCAAATAGTTGTATTCAGAGCTTCAGAATGAGTATGATCACGACTTGTTTTGAAAGTTTTCGATTTTTGGGTCCCGCCACGAAAATCAATAAAACTACCGTAACTCGATCAGTTTTGGTCCAAACTTGGAAATTTAAAAAGGACCCAAATAGTCGTATTCAGAGCTTCAAAATAAGTATAACCACGACTTGTTTTGAAAGTTTTCGATTTTTGGGTCCCGCCACTAAAACCGGTAAAACTACCGTATTTCGGCGAATTTTGGCTCAAAATCAAAAATTCAAAAAGTAATGTATCTGAAATTTTAGTCAGATAATTCCCAAACCAATATTTCGAAATAATTCACAACACTTCTCATGTTTTCTCGATGTTGTATGCTTTAATGAATCAGTTTCTCACTGTTCTCAAATTACAATCTCATCGCAAAACTTCGATTTTCAGTTTCTACATCCCACTGACGTCTTTCTTTTGTGCTTTCAAACATAAACAGAGTTTTTTGAACTTTCCAAAAAACGGAACAATCTGAGGAGGTAAGTAATGTTTTGGCACCAAGCCAAGCCTAACGTCACAACTACCCTGTATAATTTTCTAGACCAGATCATACAAAAGCAGTCGTTCCAGATATCTTCACAATGCACTTAATCTATCCGTCGACTTGGTCGCATCGAAAAAAATTGGAATGAATTCGACAACGATGAATTGCTCCAGTCTACTTATTCTTCTTTGTTTCAGTTTTCAGTTAGCTACATGGTAAGATATACTAAAATAGCTACAGTATCTCTGACCCGAATTTCAAATAGTCGAATTCCCGCTTTTGAAAGCTTCAAAATGAGCCCAAACACGCCATATTTTGAAAATCCGGCGGCTTCCATATAAGATTTCTTTTTGGAGTCTCACCACGAAATTAGCAAAAAAACTACCGTATCTCGATCAGTTGATGTCTGAACGAAATGAAAATTGAACCATTGAATCTGAAATTTGAAATGCTTCAAAATAAGCCTAAACACGACTACAATCCGTCGACTTTCATTTTTCCGGCGCGTCGCGGTCGTGCGTCGCGTGTCTATGCGAAATTTCAAAGTGGGCGGAGCCTAGTCATGTTTAGGCTCATTTTGAAGCTCTCAATGCCCCAAAAACGATGAGACTATGTTCTTTGTTTTCAGCATATCACAAAACGAGCTAAACGAATTGTCTCGAAAATTCAAGTACTATCACGCGGCGGTTCGACCTGCGGCTCCCGATAATTTCGTATCCGATCGAAATGGCACATTTTTCAATGTTCCAGTTGAAATGCATTTAATGACTACGAGGATTGTTAATGTGAGTTTTTTGGGGACTTTTTTTGTTGAAATTTTGAAATTTTTTATTTTAAAAAGCCATTTTCAGCTGTTAAAACTTATTTTGAAGCGTTTAAAATATGAAAAATGAGTTTAAAAAACTCAAAATTAGCCTAGAAATCATGTTTCGGACGATTTTTTTTTTTT